GAAGTAAATTCGACTTACATATGCATTTTTAAAAGTTCACTTCGGTAGGCTAAAGTATTGAAAGCCAATCAGAAATTCAAAAACTAGATCAGACACACACACTAATTAGAAAGCAGGGTCATTCCCATAGGTGGTAGTAACAGTGCAAAGTACACAAATATGAAATACTATTGGCAATCAAAAAAAATCAATAGAACTTATTTTCCTTTTTCTTCTCTTTGCCAAAGCAACTTACTTTTCATCTTTCTGGTTTTCTCAAGGCGTAACTTAGTTTCCCGCTTCTTAAACTAGTTCACCTTAAATAAACTAACTAGTTACATTTAAATAGTAAGAAAACTTTATTATGACCAGAATAGTTGAGCAAAAAATAAAGTTTCTCAATATTTACTTAAATGTAGTTACTCCTTCCATTTTACCATGGTATGTTCGAAATTCTTGCTTGGGTTTAAGGCTCTGAGGTGGAGGAATATTACCGTATTTTGGATATTTTTCCAAATATTCAGTTGTGGGGCAAGATATGCCAGAATGTTCATAAATCCTTGTGGTTCCATGTGGACAATGATGCCGCCTGTACAAACAAATAAACTGAAAAATTATTTTGTGTTTAAAATCTTTTGTGTGGTTATTGCATTTAAATAAGAATCTCAAGTGAACGCCTAATTTCTAAACTCGAACAGGTTTACCCTCTACACTGATGTTTATAAAAAATAGTGAATAAATTACAGTATATCCTTATGTGGTAGAAATTGGTTTTGTTCAAAAAAAATTTCATGTCTTTTTATGTCACTGAAGCTGCAAAGCTAAAAATCAATTTCCCAGATGTCTAGCAGGCAGGTTTTATGACATGTACTTAAGTGATTCAGAACATAGCTACAAAAGGAAACTGGAGAACATAACACGTTTTCTTAGTATGGATCATCACTGAGGCAGAGTGGTTGGCAGTTGTTAGGCAGTATCCTGGTTTGCAAGGTGATATCCTCATTTGACAACTTCCTGACCTCAGTCGAGTTCAGGAAGCTTCTAACTCTGTTGCAGTTTTCTGATTGTGGTAGAGGTAGTGATCCCTTGATAGTCTAGTTCTATGGTAAGACTTTGGGATATTTTTCTGGAAGCTTACTTTGAAAGCAGTTTTATATGGCAGTGGTACACACCTTGGTGCCAGCCTGCTGTACATAGTGAGTTCCAGGCCAGTCAGGGCTACATAGTGAGACTCTGTCTCAAAACAAAACTCATTTTTAGTCCCTCCGAGTTATAAAATCATATGTGCAATATGTGTACACATATATGTGTGACATTTTTAATCAATGAAAAAAACACATAATGCAATGATGGTCCCATGAGATATCACCTAGTAACATCATAGCCACCTTCATACAGTGACTAAATCACCTAATGAGTTCTCAGTACCTACCCTTGTTCTTTTTTTTTTTGGTCTTTTTGAGACGGTCTCCCTGTAGCCCGAACTGTCCTGGAACTCACTATGTAGGCCAGGCTGGCCTTGAACTCACAGAACCGCCTGCTTCTGCTGCCCATGTGCTGGCATTAAAGGTGTGCACCACCACACCTGGCACTACACTTGTTCTTAAGTAATTCAGGACTATCAAACTATAGTGGACAGTTGTTAAAGATAAATGAGGCTGACTTTTATGGATGGCTGTTGAAGGATAGTAAAAGACTGTAAATAGTTTTAAAAGTAGGCTACAGAATAGTATATACAGTATGCTTTCTCCTTTTTAAAAATTAATTTTAAAAACCATGTATGTACAACAAGTCTTCAACATTTGTTGTCCAAGGTAGACAGGACTGAGGTTTTTCACTATTATATGTATTCAATTCTACAATTAGAGATAAAACTTTAAAAATTCACAGATACACAAAAAGCCAAACAAGTCATATCACATCATTATAAAGGGTTTGATATTATTTAGCCATGAGGAAGGTTAATAACAGAAGCTTAGATAAAGCTGAACCTTGAGAAATATGTACGTTCTGCACATGAATTTGAGTCAACTTAAGACACTTAAACCCAGTGAATTCTAAGGAAGAAAATTTAAAAAGTCAGTTTCTTTGCTTGGGTTCCAGACATGAAGAACTATACACATGCAAGAATAAAGAGGGTGCTTAAGAAAAGTCAAGGGATTTGGGAAAGCCTGCTGAAAACCAGGCTCACAGAAAGTGCTGAGTGACTGAGTTCTGTGCAGGGTCCAAGGAGGAAGGTACACAGATCATGCAAGCATAAAGGTTCTGGTGCAGCTGCACTGATTTACAAAAAAAAAAAAAAAAAAAAAAAAAAAAAAAAAAAGTCAAAGCTCTGCAATTTGTCGCTTTTTATTGTTCAAGAAAACAATGCATTCACTTTATAACATATCAAATAATGTTGACAAGTTATAAATGAAAACAACAGAAATTTCCTTCTGTTTTATAGCTTTGCTGGAGGGTATAGGGGTATAGCTATTAACACCTGTTAAGTGTCCCTAATGGGAGATCAAAAGCAGTTGTCCTTTGGGCCTGTAAGAGGGAAAAGGCAGTATTACTGTTAGAATATGAAATGTTCGCACACTGCATCATTGTACCTCTGCTGATGGAACCCTTTTAGGAGGCTATGAAGCTTTGGAGAGCTAGGGGCCTCACTGGCATAGGAATTAGGTGGCTAGGGCCTTTAAAGGTTATAGCCTGGCCCCGGATTCCAAAGGCTTTCTACTTGGAAAATGACCTGCATTGACTCATATTCCAGAGCCAAGAACTCCATCATATCTTTTTTGCCATGTACTGCATTCTCTGAAACTGTAAACCAAAATAAACCTTCCCTCCCTTGTTTCTACCAGGGGCTGCTATCACCATGATGCAAATGTATCTAAGAGATGATCTGGAAAGAAAAATAATAGGTAAAGATCTCTCTTCCCTTCCCACAAGACAGGAGGCAAAAGATGAGGAAGGCATTCTGAAGAGTGAGGAATCCTTGCCCTATTCGGAGACAGTGTCCAAAGAAGTGGTCACATTTGAAGAAGTTAGCTGAGTATAGCAGTAACCCTCTAACACTACCTTCTAGCTTTGTTACCTGTTCTTGGATCTCATTTATAAGAATACAAGCAGCAGAGGTACCACTCCTTAAGGAACTAAACTACAGCGCAGGATATTTCAGTGGAAATCATTAGCAATGTTCAAAGCTTGGAGGGGCCGCCTCTTACATCAGCACTGTCTCAACTCTTTGGATCATTATCTTAACTGAAGAAGGGGAGCCCTCAACATAAGAAGATTGCATTTCCTGATGGCCAGATGGGAAAAGAACCTAGGCTGGCATGTGCTCAGTTGTGGATGGCTCATCTACATCAACTTCCCACCACTCAAAGCTCAGGAAACTCAGAGAAGGAGGCAGAAAGAATGTAAGAGCTGCCAAATGGGGAAGGAGATCTGTGAATGCTGACTTCTGGAGATAACATGGCTGTTGCTCAAATCCACTCATAGCAGCTGTGGTTACCTGCACAAGATCTGTACAAGATCAATTCTAGTCAACATTCCAGCATGGGTGGGAGAGGGGCCCCTCCCCTATCAGAGGAGGTATCAAAAGGATGGTTGCTCAGGGAGGGGGAGTCACTCTCCTTTGGGGATGTGGCTGCTAGTAAGTTACTCATGCCCCTACTCATGCCACAAAGGAGAGGGGGAGTCACTCTCCTTTGGGGAGTGGATGGCCACACACCCATGTGCATATGGGCAGCACTCACTAATTGGACTTAAGAGAATAACTGATAACAAAAAGTAAAAACAAAGAGGACATGAAATTGGGAGGGAGATGGGGGTGAGGGGCACCAAAGGGGGAGTTGTGGGTGTGTCTCAATATCTACATTGAATAAATGTATAGAACTTTCAAAGAATAAAAAATTATTTGGGGGGGGGTCTTTTTAAGACAGGGTTTCCATGTAGGCCCAGCTGGCCTGGAACTCACTATGTAGATCAGGCTGGCCTTGAACTCACAGAGATGCGCCTGCCTCTGCCTCCCGAGTGCTGGGATTAAAGGCGTGTGCCACCACGACCGGCAACAAAAACATTATTTTAAAAAAGAATTTAGGTTGGCTATAAATTAAGATTAAAATAGAATTACATGTATTTGCAGATGCACATAACAAGTGATCTTTCAATCTATACCTACATACAAACGATGTTTACTATGAAAAGGACAGAGAAACGACTTTCCATCAACATGTACTGTAGGCAGTTTCCCTTAGAAAGGGATTAGTTATACCAAAGACAGTATTCATATTTATTTAACTAATATTGATCTAATCCTTGGGTCAACAGTGAAGCTGAGGAAAGAGAGGACTGTGTTTACTGGTGGTGGATGGTTGTTAGGCAGAACTTAGAATGCCAACTCTGAGCCTTCAGGGTGGTGGCCTGACCTCCGAGGGAGCGCTGCCTGGATAGAATGAGAATATAGTCTGCTTTAGAGGATGGAAAGCTGGAGATGGAAGTCTAATGTGGGCGGCAAACTAAAGGCCTTGCACACTGTTCTTTTCAATTAATCCCCGGATTTTGGAGGCGGGGTGGGGGTGGGGGCATGAACTCTAAGGGTCGGACCCCAGCCCATCCATCACTTACCACCATGATTCCACATACGCCTTACCTGACCGGGTCAATATCTGTTTGAATCCAAGGACAGGAAGCCTCCGGGCTACAAAGAAGAAAAGTTTAACCCCGGGAGCCAGCGAATAGCGAGGGAGGGCGGCGGGGGCGAAGCCCGGGCGTCGCCGGGCCGGTGTCCCTTCAGGGTCCCCAGCCGGCCGCGTCCGTGAGGTCAGTAGGGCTCGCAGGAGGGCCGCAGACATACCAGCGGTTCCTTACCCGCAGGTGCAAATCTGACACAGACACCAGCTTCTCATGCTGTCCGCTCCAGCGCTCTCCTCAGCAGCGCCTCGACTAGCGATCCTCACTGGAGCAGCGCCTCCCGTTGTCAAGGCGATCGCGGGATTTCCACTGGAGACCGGCGAGGCGCGGCTTCCGGTGGCGTCCGAGGCGCGCGGGGGGGTCAGAGGTCGTGCGCCCGCAGGCCCCGCCCCCCGGCGCTCGTGATTTCCGGCCTGCGCTTCTCTCCGCGCTGGAGTCAGCTTGGTGAGGCGCGGAGCCCTTGAGAGCGGCACGCGGGGGGCGCCAGCGGACCGGACGGGATGGGGGTGGGGACTGGGTGGCCGCGGCGGCAGGGCGGAGCTTGGGCCGTGCGGGGTGGGGGTGGCCTCCCCGGGGAAACCCGGGAGCCTGGGCGGGGAAGGAAGAGCGGAGTTGGCCAGCGGTTTCCCTTTGGTAGATGTTCCTTGCACCTGTTTGCCTCGTAATCACGTGACTCCAAACTTTCTGGGCACTCTGGGCAGTCCCAAGTCACCTCGCCTTTGGGCCGCCTAACTTAAGGAGAGACTTGCAGAGAAGTGAAGAGGGCATGCGGAGATGTCCGCCCATCCCGCGGTAGTCTTTGACTCAAGTTAATTAGTGCGCTGGTTTGGCATGGTGTCACTCCAGCCAGTCCCATGGCTGCGTGATTCATCGCCCCGCACATCCGGAAGCTTCCAGCACACCCCAGGATATCAGGATGTGATGACTTTGTTGGTGGACTTGGGCCTGAGATGCCATATCACATCAGGAAACGTTCATTGGGTTCTCAGTTTAAGGAATCTGAGACTGAAGCGTTAAGTCCCCAGCATCTAAATCTACATTTGCTTTTTGTTATTGTCTTTCCCACCCCTCCCCCCGACTTTTAGTTTTTGTAACATTCGTAATTACCATTTAATTTTTAGTCATAGGAAGGGGTGGACTTGGGCCTGAGATGCCATATCACATCAGGAAACGTTCATTGGGTTCTCAGTTTAAGGAATCTGAGACTGAAGCGTTAAGTCCCCAGCATCTAAATCTACATTTGCTTTTTGTTATTGTCTTTCCCACCCCTCCCCCCGACTTTTAGTTTTTGTAACATTCGTAATTACCATTTAATTTTTAGTCATAGGAAATAAATAACCATGGTGCTCAATAGTGTGGATAAGATGATTCAACTCCAGAAAAACACTGCTAACATCAGGAATATCTGCGTTTTGGCTCACGTAGACCATGGTAGGACTCTTTAAATGGCTTTTTATTAACAAATGAGGTATGTGTCTCTACATGTGCCATTGGAGTGCAGCTGTGGGCAGATGAAAGTGGTGATTACTGAATTTGTGTGTGTGTGTCTGTGTGTGTGTTGTGTCTGTGTGTGTGTGTGTGTGGTATCAAAGGATGCTGTTGAAATTAACAGACTTAGCTAATAATTAGCATTCTTCTAAGAGGTGAAGACGGACAACATGAGATACATGAGAAAAAAGTACACTCTAAAGGTTGTGGGTTAAGAAAAAGCATTGGGCTGGAGAGATGGCTCAGCTGTTAGAGTACTGACTGTTCTTGCAGAGGACCCAGATTCTCCCAACATGCTCATGGCAACTAACAACTATTAGTAATTGCAGTTCCAGGGGCTCCAGCTCCCTCTTCTGACTGCCACAGGCCCTGCACTACCGTTGGGTGCTCTTAGATTCATATAGGCAATACACTTATACACATAAAATGAAAACGAATTAATTAAAAAATTAAAGAAAAAAAATTTCTTTGATTATAAACTACATTCCACGTTTTCTTGCTAAGTATTAAGAGTTTAACTGGGAAATAATTAGCCAGAATCACACACACAGGGAAATATGACTGAAGACTATGTTTGATAATTTTTTATGTTAATTTACCCAATATATCTTTCAGAAGTAAAAATTACTACTGTCTTGTCATTCTGAGCTTTTAGAACCTTAAGTTTCTAAGTACGGTCACTATTCTGAGTATGGGATGATTGATAAGTTCTAATAAACTTGATTTCTTGTAGATTAATAGTAATTAATATAAACAATGTCAGAAACCACATGTATTTGATTTACTTGATGGTTTGCCTCATCAGTTAAAAGTCTGAGGGTTTTTGTATTTTTGTTTTAATTTTGCCTCAAATTAAGAAAATTTCTATGCCTCAAAAGAATTACCTGATAACTTTTCAGGTGAGATTGATGAGCTCTACAGATGTGGAGATAATATTATGGCAGCATATAGTGCTAGCCCCTTTAGAGAAAAACATAGATTGTAATTAATGTTGTTTTAACAGGAAAAACGACTCTTGCTGATTGTCTTATATCTAGTAATGGAATCATCTCCAGCCGCCTGGCTGGCAAGGTACGTTGTTGCATCTGTTAAGTACTTATTGCATACTAGCTATCTATAGTGTCATGCTCCATTTGCTGTGTTCTTTAGTGATCTGAACAACTGAACTGAACCAATTAAACAAGATAAAGTAGATGTTGAGAAAAACTTGATTTCTGTATTGCTTTGTTTTGCTTTATATTTGTCCTGTATTATGTAAATGTAGTTGTGAGTTGCAGCAAGTCAGCTGTTACATGATTGTGCATGATTTCACAGGTGGATGTGTTGGGTGGTTTGAGGAAAGGGCAGAAAAGCTGTTAATAGCATAAAAGACTAGTTTATGTGGGCGGTGGTTGATGTGAGTGGAGCTTTTGCTTAGAGACAAGTAGAAAGGAAAAATCTACCAACAGAATCTGTCAAATTAGAAAAGATCTTGAAAGTTAGCATAAGTAATCTAAATACTAAAAGAAGTCTTAAGCTTGAGGATCATAGTGAAATTTTAGGTGTTTTAGGAGCTGGTAAGATGGCCCAGTAGGTTAAAAGTGCTTGTTGCCAGGCCTGATTACCTGAGTTCCATCCTTGGAATCCATACGGTGGAGGGAGAGAACCCATTCTTAACCCAGGTACTTGTATGTACACACACACACACAATAAATTAAATAAATGCAATTTTAAAAAGAAAGGAAATAGTGTTTTAGGAAATGAAAGAACTCTTGTTTCTAGATGTAACTCAAAAGAGCCTAGAATAATTAACTTCACAATAGGAAAGTAAAGAAATGTTTCTTTTCTTAATGAATCTAGGTTATAATAAGCAGAATTTATCAGGTGACAAGTAAAAATGAGATTGGAAAACAGAAACAAAAGTGAATCAACAGAGTAGGTAGCAGGAGAGGTAGGGTAGCATTGGAAAGTTGAAGCCGCTTGTGTTGGAGTTGGTCCACGGTTGAGTTTAATGTAGCACTTATGTTCTCCCAACTTGAGAAGTTAGAATGACAGTAACCAAAGTAAGAAGATAAAATAACAAAGCATAAATAAATCAAGTAGAAAATGGACATTTTGTAGAAAGAATCAGGAAAACTAAAAATGACAACAAAAGTGATGGCCATTTGTCATACATTTAAAATGCACCCTAATAAAAACTGTGACCTTTAAAAACATACATCATTGTTGGTTCATCAAGTGTGACTAAAGATGCACACAATAGTTTTTTCTCCCGTTGGGGAGAGGACATTTGTGAGAACTGCTGTGCGTTCTAATTTTTTATTTGACTTATATTGTTCTAAAAGTATAAAGTCTACTAACTGAAATTGCAACAGTATAAGCAAGTTATGACCACTGACTAAAAAATTTATTTTGCTTTATTTTTAGTTGTTGAAGTATATTTGGTACTCTTGACCAACTCATGTCTCTATTTGTGGCTAACTGTGCTTAGGAAATAGATGAAGTTGAACATATATAAAGAAATCTTCAATGAATTACACAAAGATTAATACAGCTGGCAACTATCAGCAGGATTGATGAACAGAGAAAGATAATACAAGTGAAGAAAAATTCTATAGATATTTTATAATAGGATATAATAAATAACTTCATAGCAATAAACTAAAAGTGAAATACAAACTGTCTGGAAAATTAAAACTTTGAAAAGTAGAATCAAGGAAAGATAGAAAAGTTAAATAACATTGTGGCCATTTAAGAAATTAAATTGGTTGGCAAAAACCTTTCCACAAAGAAGCAGCTCAGATGGCCTAGATGTTTAATTAAACATAGCTGTCTAGTTTAACTGTCTATAGTCAAGGAACAAATATTTCAGTTTTGTTGGAACCCTTCAAAAATACAGGGAGAAAAACCCAACAATGAGCACCACTCTCCAGGTCATATGAGTAGCATAATAGTCCAGAAATCTCTTAAAAGTAATCCAGGACAGAAAAATTGATTTTGGTCTTCTCATTGCAGAGAATAAAAATTATTACTAACAGTCTAGCATTGTTTAAAAAGATAGTTCTTCATAACTAAATGGAATTCATTTTAAGAAATTCAAGATTGATTTTAATATGACCATGTTAATGGACTAAAGGAAATATATTAGTAGATACAAAGGACATTTAGTAAAGTCTAACATCGATTGTGATAAGAACTTTTCACAAAGTAAGTTTAGAAGATAGTGGCCATAATCTGATACAGATTTTTTTTAATAAAAATGTACAATAAAAAATGAATTTAATAATGACATATTAAAATTTTACTGTTTGGGAATAAGATTGGTTGACTGCCTATCTGTACCCTTGTGCTTTTTGTATTTTAACACCTATTTTACAATATTTTGGAGATTATTAACTTCAAGAAGTGTGTGTGGTGGGGTGAAGTTTGGAAAAGAAATAACTGTTGATTAATAGATGCTGTGACTTTGTAAAAAAGTAAAATAAAATATGTATATAAATTGCTAGAATATAAATAATTTGGCAGGTTTCAGGATATACAAGCCATTGAAAAGAAATATACATGAGCAATAAGTATAAGATTTTTTAAAATTTACCATTAATTAGGCTAAAATATTACAGAAAACAAAATGAAAGATATACTATGTTCATGTTTTGACAGGGTCAGTATTTAAAAATTGATAGTTTTATGTTTATATATTTATTCCAAGAACAATTCCAGCAGTTCTTTAAAATTTTGAACTAGATGTGCCATTTGAAAATCTCTAGAAAAGGAAAATAAACAAGTCATAGACAAAGAGGAGTATATCTTAGGAGATGATGGTCAGACTTGTGATTGTATTGTAACTTGTGGTTTAGAGTTGGCTGAGGTATGAAATTGACTGATGGTCTAGAAACAGACACACATGAGAACTTTATACAGAGCTGGCATTTCAGAGCTGGAGAAAAGATGACCTCAATCAATGATCCTTGGGCAGTTATTTATCTATTGGAAAAAATGTCAACCTCTACCTAACACCACACCCCAAAACCCGCTGCATATGGTTAAAATCCATGAAAAGCAGAACTACTAAGCTTTTAGAAAATAGTAATGGTAATACTTTGATGATCTTAAAGAAAGATTTCTTAAGGTGAAAACCACTATGTTAAGGTTGATTGATTCAACTACATTAAAATTAGTAATGTTTTTAATCAGGTATGCCACAAAGTGAAAAAAAAACTTTGGAACTAGGGAAAATATTAACAGACATTCAGCTGACAAAGAACTAATATTCAGGGACTGTTTATAACTCCTATCCAAAACAAACCAGTAGGGTGACAAAAATCTTACACAAGAAACTTATATAAGAGGGATGCCAAATGGCTAAACTAATACAGTAAAGTTGTAAAAAGATACTCAGTCCCATTAGCAGGTAGAAAAGGTTTAAGTTCTATTTATTTTAAAAAAAAATTTTTTGATTAAAAAAAAATTTTTTTTTTAATTTTATGTGTATGAGTGTATTGCCTGAATGTATGTAAGTGCACTTAAGTCCTGAATTGCCTGCGGAGGTCAGAAGAGGGCATTGGATTCCCTGGAACTGGAGTTACAGATAGTTGTGAGCCATCATGTGGGTCCTGGGAACCAAACCTGGTTCCTCTGCAAGAGCACCAGTGCTCTTCACTGTTAAGCCATTTATCCAACCCCTATAACTGTTCTACTTTATTAACTGTTTTTGTTAATTTTACTTGCCTAATTTTTTAATTAAACCCTATCAAAAGTATGTGTAGAGGAAAAATGGTACCTTTAGAGTTCATCTGAGACTTCAGGCATCCACTTGAGACTTAAAACACATCCTCTGACATCCCTGCCTAAGGGTTCCAAGGACATTTCAAGTTTAATAAGCCCTAAAGGAATTTGTGTGTTTGTATGTTGGAGAGATGTGATGAGTGTATGCAAGTGTGTATCCCAGTGCACTCACCCAGGCAGGCATGTGTGGAGGCCAGAGATTAACGTTAGGATATCTTCTTCATTGACTTTTCCACTGAGCTTTGGAGACAGGGTCTCTTGATGAACCTGGAGTTTGCCATTTTGGCTAGGCTGGCTGGCCACTGAACCCCCAGGATATACCTGTCATCCCCCTCCTCTCCAACACTTAGATTACAGACACCACCACACTTAGCTTTTACATGGGTGCTTGGAACCCAAATTCAGGTCTTCATGTCTCCCCAGCACACTTTACCCCTGAGCCATTTCCCCAGTAAACACTCCCGTCCCCTCCAGGATTCTTAATTCTTTATTCTGTGAAGTTTTTCTTTGTTTTCGTAGATTTTTGTAATTGAATTTTTGTGTCTTTCATGTGGAACATCTACTCTTAATAATCTTTATACCCTTCCC